TTTTATTAAATTTTTTATTAAATTTTTTGTTTTTTATTTAAAAAGAAAAGTATAAAACAAAATTAAATAACACAAAGAAAGATTTAGTATTAATACCATTGCAGAATAACAATATTAGATATTTCAAAAGTATTTGGTTTTGTTCTACCAACAAATAAATCAGAAGTATATTTTGTGTCATAAATAAAAGAAAATTCAGAAGAAAATGATGATTTAGAAATTCTTAAATCATAAGCCGAACACATTCCAATTAAACCATTTTCACTATTATCATCATAGAGTACCATATAGTCTTGATATTTAGATGTATAAAATATTTGTGGTTCAATTCCATAAGAATTAATAAAAGTAAATAAAAAATATCCACCGTTTTGTTTATATCTTATTGGTAATAAATTTTTTGTTATTTTTAATGTATTTTGATGATATGAACCAAAAATAAATCCTTCAGTTGTTTTAACAATTATTGTTATATTCTTTCTTCCAATTATTTTTGAATTTATTTGTCTTGATGATACTTCTTCTATTTCACTATTATAAATAATATCAAAATAATTTAAATGAATCCACTCTTTTAACTTTCTTATAACTCCTTGAAATTCATTCATTCTTACTGTCATTTTAATCAAGATTCTTTCTTTCCTTTTTTCTTAGTTCATCTTCTTTTTTATTATCTTCTTCTCCTTTTCTTATTTATTTCTTTTCCCGTTTTATATTATTTGTTATTTATAACAATAAATTACTTCTTAATTAATAATTCAAAATTCTATAATTTTGATTTGTAAAACATAAAAATATTCTTTCTCTGTAATATTCCTTATTTGTATCTTTATCATAATAGTAACTCTTTTAATAATAATATGTTGATTTAAATAACTACTATTGATTATGTTTTTAATTGAGTTTTTTTTTCTATGATGATAGATGTTATTCTCACCATTTTCATTTAATTTATTTTCTAATTTTTTTAATTAATAACGAAAAGAATAATAAATTAATATCAAAAATAATACAAATAATCAGAAGTTTTGAAAATTATATAAAGAATGAGTATTTCTACGATAGGTGATGTCACTTTATATCCATGTGATGAAAAGCTTGTTAAAAATGGATGGTTTAATGATAATTTGATTTGTTATCAAATTGAATACATCAAAAAGGAATTTCCATTAAAAGGTACTTTGATAATCGATCCATTAGGATTTGTGTTATTAAGTCTGGGAGATGAAAAACAACTATTAAACGATTTAAATGCAAAAGAATATCATCACATAATTATCACAGTTAATGATTTAACGGATAATAATACTGTAAATAATGGATCACATTGGACACTTCTTTATATTGATATACTTTCCAAAATTGGATATTACTATGACAGTGTTCCTTCTCATTCTACTTTTCATGCAGAAGTTCTTTTAAATAAAATATCTCTTTATTTTGGCTTTCCTATTGCTTTTCATAAAGCACATTGTCCCCTTCAAACAAATGGACTCGATTGTGGACCTCATGTTTTAGCAAACATTTATGCAATTTGTACTTTGTTAAGTGATAACTTACATGACTTTGAAGTACTTCATCCACATTATACTGCTTCAGAAATTCGTTCATTAGTATATTCAGAAATCCATCATCTTTAATTTTATTTTCTTTCTTTTGTCTTTTTCTTTCTAATGTTAAATTCCTTTTTCAATTTCGAAAACATTTCAAATTATATTTACCGTTAGTAGTAAATAACATCATCGAATTTTGTAAAGAAAATCAAACATAGAATAAGTCAATATCATTCAGAAGAAGAAGTGCAACAGAAATAAAAAATCATCTAATGTCAATAAAGTAAAAATTACTAACTTTAAGTAGATATTGAATTTTTTATTTCATTTTCTTTTGTTTTATTCTTCATTTCTTCATTATATTTATTTTATATTTTATTTATTGTTTATTCCCAATATTTGATTATTCATTTATTATTTTATGTTTAATTTGTCCATTCTTATTTACATTATATTTTATTATCCTATCTTTATTTCTTGTTATTTTATCATTACAAATAGTAGTACATCATTTATTTTATTATTTGATTTTATTATTAATTTGTTTATTTTCATACTCACATATTATTTTCTTGAATTAATTTCATTGTTTATATTCATTTCTTT